CAAGAGTCTGTAGCCAGTAGGGTGCGGATGACCCAGAAACGATTGACAGATTTCCACTTAAATTTGATGCCGTTGGTTAAGATGTTGCACAATGGGAGTGTTTACCTTCGTTTGGGTAAGAGCTTTCGGCGAAGATGACCTGTCATCTTCACCATCATCATGGTCATCACCAGCAGTCCCTGTCAATGTTAGTAGTCATTTGCCCTAAACCCTAAACCCTAAACCGCATCATAATTCCATACAGCCTCGTCACTATCGATTTCCTGTCAGTCTCCAGTCGAGAGTCTCGGGTTGACCTGCGCATTTTTTGATGACCCCTAACTAAAACCCAAGCTGACCTGCGACGCCTGTGTACAGGCCCAAAAGCCTGAAAGCCCTAAAGCCCTCAAGACCCTAAATCCAGTTCAGGGTTTAGGGCAGGGCCCTTAGCCTTAGCCTTTCCACTGGGAAACCTGACATCTCAAACTCTAACACCCCTTAGAAACTAAAGCCCAGAACCTTGAACTGGGAATCAACAGACCTGAGCCCCTAAACCCGAAACCCTAAACCCTGAACCCTAAACCCTAAACCTTGAAAACTTGGCTCTTCTTGTTAGGGCGGCCTCGCGGCTGCTTGCAGATTTACCCTTGCTGTCACCGGAGGTGGCTGCGCAGAACGCTCGTGCTTAGGGCTCTTGCCTATAGTCTCCATCATAGTTCCTTTTTTGATTAACCAGTTTTATGGTGAGGATCCTATAATATAGTTTTTGGTGAACCCAAAAAAGGAACTACAATGGAAGCTATAGGTTGTTGTCATGTAGAGTATCATGCCTCAGCAACAGGTACGGGGCTCCTTGTTCAACTGAGGTTTAGTGCGTGTTTTGTAAGGTAGAGTGCTGGGTCTCCAAAAATCTGCCCGCACACATGATGCTGCAGTCAGCTCGGCATTTAACTCCGTAACATTTTTGTGTGCATTCCTTTGCTTGCTCGTCCGCCAGTCTGCGCTTTTGCAGTTTAGTACTACAGGGAACTCCAGAAAGTTGGAATATGGATTAATGGTAGGATCCCCTATAATTTACTTTAAAGGGGTTACGATAATGATATTCCAACTTTCTGGCTTCTACTGTATTCCGAATGGCAAACCTTTTGTTTCCCGATGTCATTGGGGAGTGAACTGTTTCCGGTGAACTGAATACCTCTGCCAAGCTGTGCTCATCATCCCACATAACTTAGTCGTCGACCGCTGCGCCGACTTCTTCGCTACTGTGGTTGTAGCTGCCGCTTGTTTGTGTTTCAACACAGGTCACTACTCGCTCGCATGTGTGTTTTTCTCACGACCTGTTGTGTAAGAGTGCCGACAGTGCTTCGCTGGCTTTTGTGTCAAACCCCACACCCTAAACTTTTTCAATCTAGCCTGAAAACCCCAAACTACAACGCAAATCCAAGATCTCCAACCCGCAGTACACTCCGTGCAGGTGTCCAACTACAATGCGGTGCCCTGGCTGATGAGCAGCCTGAACCCTAACCTGCGGACCCTACACCCTGCAGCCGATAAGTCCTGCACGAACCCTAAGCCCCGAACCCTCATTCTTACACCCCGAACCCAGCACACACTACATCCTCATCTAGGCTAAATTGTAAGCAGCGCTGTTGCATGCCTTTCAGATTGTGGCGAAGATTTGAAGCTCCAAGGTGGAATCTCGCAAGCCTGCGGACCTATATTGTTTAGGGGTCCGAGCTGATGTTTTGGCTCATGATAAGGTTTAGGGTGTTCCTTAACCTACCAAACCCTAGTTTTCTGTAGATCCTTATTATGAGCCCTAATGTTGAGTTTATAGGGACCCTACAACAAAGCAGGGCAAGGTGGGGTACGGGCAACATGCAGTACCCCGCCACACGCTAAATCGACCCTGCTTGCACTCCGAAACGCTCTGGAGCCTTCAACTTGGGACAATCTTGGCAAGCTATGAAGCCCCTTAGAAAGCCGAAAATCCTTGAACCCCAAAAGGCCCCTAGACAACCGTTGAAAGCCAAGGTGCTGAGCAGTTTTGGACATGATTGGGTCTCCAGCCTGCTCGTGTTGAACGAACTGGAGCACAACCGGTTGCAGCTCGACCAAACTCGTAGCGGAAGCCCGAAAAAGATCAAATTCTGTATAGGAAGGGTTGGGAGAATAAAGGACTGTGACCCTACAATGACTACGGCCTTGTTTTGAGCTTAAGCTCCGTCTTGCTGTGATTTTAAATCCTAAACCCTAAACCCCAACCGTTCCCAACCCTTAAACCCTAAACCCTATAGACCCTCCAAACCCTAAACCCTACACCCTATAAACAAACCCTAAACCCTCACCCTATAAACCCTGAACCCTAAAAACCCTAAACCCTACACCCTATAAACTTAGACTCTAAACCCTATAAACCCTAAGCCTTAAACCCTTCACCCTATAAACCCTAAGCCCTAAACCCGGAGATTCCTTGTTATCTCAAGCCAGGCTCTGGCTTACGCGAGGGTTTTGACTCGGGACCCAGGGTCCGGTCTAGAGTTTTCTTGTTTTTTCTTTCTTGGGGTAACCTTGTAGTTCCTTCTTGGGGGGGCAATCTTAGGGGATCCTAAATACAAAATTGGGCAAACCCCCAAAAGGAACTGCCTATAGTCTCCATTGTAGTTCCTTTTTCGTTAGGATCCTATAAGTTGAACCAAATATCGTTCTATGTCGGCGTCGCTTTTTGGAATGGCTACTTTCAGGGTGTAATATATTGATGCGATTGCAAGGACAAAGCTTCTATAGCTAGTCATGTCAAACTATATCATAACCGCCAGGAAGCGATTCTAGAGCCCGTGTACACCCCTGCAGCCCTGTATAGAACCCATAAGCCCCTAAAGAAACATGGGCCCCAAGGCAGCCGAGCCTTATCAGCTACAACATTGCTGTGCAGAGCAGCGGGTGGCAGACGTCCCTGGCCCTTCTACGAGGCCTCGGATTAGGGTTTGGTGGTATAGAGTTTCGAACGCAGGCAGGTACCTCCTTAAAACCCCTTCGAGAAATCTTTATAGACATCCTACATGAAACACTGAACTCAAACCCTTTTGGAGACCCTTTATGGAGAGCTTGACATTTCCCGAAGGCGCTGCCTCGCGTTTCGTGCACCTGGATGGGGTGAGCCACAACAACGCCCGGGCCTCGGGCTCTGCAGTTGGGCGGGTTTTACGGTTTCGGATTTAGGGTCTTGGGGGGGTCTTGGTTATTGCACAGCTTGCGACGGCAATGGTCGCTCAGGTTTTATCATGAGGCTTTATAGAATCCTATATAGGTTTGAGGGTTTGGCTTACTCGTTGCGTTGGATTTAAGCTGATTTTGTCTCCCGACCTTCATCCCGAGCAACCCTGCTAGGTCCCAGACAGCCCAGTGAATGAAGCATAGCCTGTGGAAGACTCTCCAAAAGTTGTTTTCAGAACCTAAACCTAAACTGTATTGCGGCGCGAAACTGGGTGTTTAAAAAGAAGTATTATTGCATTAAGCTCTCTTCGCCGCCCATCGTCCGGGGACACTGGAATACACTGCGACTTGGGCTTGCGGGTTTGTCTTGGCTCTTGGCAAATTCACCTCCTCTACACTTGCATGGCATGAAACCTGAGCCGTAGCGATTGGGAGCCACATGTGAATCTGGGATTGAATTGTTTGCAGGCACTTGCCGCCTGCGCCGCAGCATTTGCTTGGCAGCCGGCGTTGGTACTGCTCGCTGCACTTCCGGACACCAGGCCGGCAAGGATGACAGCAGATTTGTCACAATGTGTAACAGGCTTGGCATGTCTGGATAGAGAGACAAGAGTTCCTACTTGTTTCTGCCTCCAGCCGATGGCAATCCTCGCTAGAACCCATACAATATTCATAAACCTTGTATAGAACCCTTCTAAAATTGTAAAACTTCTAAACCCGCATAACTTTCTACAACTCTTTCATACCGAGCAAGGCGGTAAAGCCTTCCTGTGCAAAACCCCTTGCACAAGTCCTCATCCGCGAGGCTCCGGGTCGGCTTAGTGAGCTTCAACGCTGCCATCAGTGCTTGTGCGCGTGCGAGGCAGGAGCTGAACCCGGGGTTTAGGGCTCAGGCTTCTCCTTTAAGACCCAATTACGCTGCACATGGTGGGGGAAACTGTGTTTGTGGTTCTATCTCGAAGACTCTAACTATTTCTGCAAGTAATCAACGTTTCTATTCCTCGGGATCTATAGCCTACAGCCTACGGGCTGCGAACAGCACCTTGTTGCCACATTTTCATTTGAGCTGTTTGTACTCTAAGCCGCATGGTTTCGTGTGAATGTATGATGATGCTGAGGACCTGCTGGTGCATGGGGCTGTCATCAACCCCAGCATTCAACCCTTGCCTCAGGGTTAAGGGTTCAATTTTGGTTTGTTGTTGGTTCAGTTTTTGCGTGTGTTTGTGTGTGTGTGTTTATGAGTTTATGTGTCTGTGCTTTTGTGCATCCGGGGCGGGGATGCACAGATTGTCGGGGACTGTGAGTTCCGCTAAAGACTTGAGAGTGCAGGGCCTCAGCGGTGCCGGTTTTCATGGCCTCACGATCCTGACTGTGACATCAACAACAATCAATCACTTCCTCCATGCACCCAGCACGCCTGTAACATTGGAAATACTTTCCGGGAATTCCCCCTCAAACCAGCCCGGCCTTCCGAAAACTGCTTTGAATTAGGGAGGTGTAAGAGCAGGAGCAGGAGCAACAGCAGCTGGCAAAATTCCATACTGAGACATTTGTGGTCCCCGACGGAAGTTCAGGGTTCATGCTTATTTGGGATTGCTACTCGGAGAGTTTTTCGGGTTTGTCTGGGTTGTGTGGGAAGACGCGACTTGGTTTTTGAAGCTTCTTCCGCGATTGATGTTGCCCTTCCATCCCTTGACTGTTGCGATGGGTTCAGCACTGAAACCGGGTCTTTAGCTTTCGTTATCGTGTGAGCAAAGTCGCTACTTGGGAACTTTTGAGCTCCTCAGGCATGTGGAAGCAGTTGAATGTCGGCTCCACTAAGGCTGGCCCCCCCTAGCAGAGCTTTGTCTTGGAGCAGCATGAGCTCTGATGGCCGGAGAAGGCAGCCTCCACGTGTTCGCGCGGTCTGGCTGCTGTGCCTTCTTCTCGGAGCCGCGCTTCCGGCCTCCGTTCCGCCGCTCTGGTGGCGGAAGGGTCGACCTCGGAAGATTTTGGGGAGCAGGGCTGAGGCGGAGCTCCTTTGCCAGCTGGCCGTGCTACTTATGCCGGGTGTGCCCATCGCCGAGGCTTTCCGTGATTTTCCGGTGGAGAAGTCGGAAGCATGGTGTTCCTGCAAACTGTCCCCGGATTTGGCAGCTTACGGGGTGCTCAGAGCAACCGATGCTGCCCTGTTCATCGAGTACGATGGCTACTATCGACACCTGGAGCCACCGGGCCTGGCCAGGGACATGCGCAAGACCAGTGCGCTGCTGAAGTTCGCTCCTGCAGGATCTATCGTACTGAGAATCGCGCACAAGAAACGAAAGTGGAGGGACAAATCCACGCAAGTATTGGTGGACAGCTGGTGTGCTGAGCACGAGCCTTCGCTCCTAAAGGCCCTAAATCAGGTCGCGGCTTCTCTTTTGCATCAGTCTCGTGGCAGGCTGCATCCCACACTAGCTTCACGCCTGCAAGCCTTCGCTGCAGAGGAAGGCATCAACAAGGATGCAAGTACCCACGCTCAAGAGGCTGAGTTGGTTGGCATGTCAGACAGCAGCAGGCCGAATTTGGAAGAGTTTCTTTGCAAGGAGGTAGGTTTGAATACGTGGCAGGTTGCCAAGGTGATCGCGAAATCTCCTCAATTGAGGGATCTGAGCATTGATGAAAATCTGAAGCCAACAGTCGACTGGATGAAAGGGCTGGGCCTGAGCCAGTCGCAGGTTGCCAAGGTGATCGCAACATGTCCCCAGGTGCTTGGCTACAGCATTGAGGCAAATCTGAAGCCGACGGTCGAATGGATCAAGGGGCTTGGCCTGAGCCAGTCGCAGGTTGCCAAGGTGATCGCAACATGTCCCCAGGTGCTTGGCTGCAGCATTGAGGCAAATCTGAAGCCGACGGTTCAATGGATCAAGGGGCTGGGCCTGAGCCAGTCGCAGGTTGCCAAGGTGATCGCAACATGTCCCCAGGTGCTTGGCTACAGCATTGAGGCAAATCTGAAGCCGACAGTCAAATGGATCAAGGGGCTTGGCCTGAGCCAGTCGCAGGTTGTCAAGGTGATCTTGCGGCGTCCGCAAGTGCTTGGCTTGAGCATTGAGAAAAATCTGAAGCCAGCAGTAGAATGGATGAAGGGGTTGGGGATGAGCCAGTGTCAGGTAGGTAACTTGATTGCAGCATTTCCTCCGGTGTTTGGCCTTCGTATCGACACAAATCTGTCAGCGAAACACCGCCTTCTACGGCAATATTTCACCGGAGAACACGCAGCACAGTTGTTGGCCCAATCACCTCAACTTTGGAGCTACAGGTATGCTCGGCTGGAACATCGCTTGTCAGTGCTGCAATCTCACAACCGGCTCTTCCAGCTTGCGGGCGCCATGACACTTCCCCTGGATGCATTCAGTCGCAGATATCCTGGGACATGATGCCGGACCTGCACGCCGACAGACGCAAAAAGCCTCGAGACGAGGAGCCACCTATGGGCGGAATTTTATCTCATGGAAATGGCCTGAGGCTTGGCCAACGGTCCGAAGTACAGGAAGTACAGACCTGTTGGGATTCAAAGTGGGAACCAGGCCGACCCCTTACTGTTAGAGGAACTGTACATTGTACCTGGAAAATTATGGCTTTTCAGAGCTTCAAAGGCATTTAAAAGGAGCAAGAGCGTAGAGATAGCATCACTCCCTAATAATCAGAGCCGTGGAGCAGTAGCAGAGCAGTCCTGGCAATCAGTGCTGTTGCGTTCCGAAAGGTTGACGACAGGAGTATGACACGCATAGCAGCAGTATGTTGATGGTGTTTGCTTTGCGATGGTTCCTGTCCCTGCGAAGGCAATGGCCGTGGACACTTCAACTGCTGGATGCAATGCAGGCACGTCAAGCCCACGCCAGTGTGTCTCGGGTGTTCGTTCCACATGGTCTTTACTTTGACCGAACCTCCATGTACCTATAAACATAAACCGTCTGTATATAAGACCAAAGTAAACAGTATATTGGCACATCGACCCTCAGAGTGAAACATATGCACCTCTACGTTCCGCGTCCATGCAGCATCGTGTCAGGGAGACGCATGGCTTGGCGGGGTGCTCCCAACGGCAAAGCTTCTAAACCGTAGCCCTCAAAGCCCTACACAAAACCCTGTATCCTCAACCCTGGCCCACATCCCTAATTCCTTTTTGCAACATGATGAGGCTTAATTAGCGGCTTGATCCTTAGCCCCAGGGAACTCTAACACCGAACACTGTAGTGTTTATTCCACACTGGGACTGAAAACGGCTCGATATGGTTGCCAACCTTGACATAGATGGATGCAGGTCGAAGTCAGGCTTGCAGGATGACCTCCTAAGTCGGTTGTAAGGGCAGCACAGGTTAGGACAACCCTTGTCACGCTACTTACAACTCTACTCGCAGGCGTCCTAGGCCCTGAACCTTTAAAGCAATGACCATTCAAGTTATCTTTTGATCGGACAGGACACGCAGCTGCAGCCGGATGTGGTGAGCTTCAATACTGCGATGAAAGCATGCGATGGCTCAGGCATTCCGAAGCTCTAAACAGCTTGTAGGGTTGAGAGTTTTGAATCCAAACGGTTTAGTTATGCATTCATAGCACATACCAGCTTTTGCTGGATGGTGCACCCTTGACGCACCTGAGAAGATATGGAAGCTTCATCAATCAAGCGGCAACAGCAGAATGCTTCTTGTAAATACACTTGCTGTGGAACGCTCCCGGCTCTATGTGTCTGGGTCGTGCATCCGCGGGGTGCGCAACTTCTATGCCACTACTCCCCATTAGCCCGCCGTAGTCCAGCTCCTGAACCCTAAGCCCTTCCCAGAGGTTCAACCTCTGCTGCGGCGGTTCATAGAGCTAGAGATTTGAGTAGAACCAGAGCTACAGATTTGAGTAGAACCAGTTTTAAATAGCTTTCCGAACATCAGCCCTAATGCAGCTTTACGCCCGAGCACTGACCCATGCATCAAGTTGGGTATCCCATGGTGCACAAGCATATATCCTATCCCATCCGTCCTTTTTACCAACTTCTGCACGGCACAAGACTCCAGAAATCGTGGGCTGCTCTTACAGTCAAGAGGTTGAAAAAACTAGAAGACAATTGGCCCGAAAGCATCATCAGCGAAGAGTGTTACGCTACGTCATAGAATCCAGTGTATAGGGTCATAGAGTCACCGAGTCAAAAGCACGGAGTCACAGAGTCGGAGTGTCACATACAGTCAAGAGTCGTACAAGTCATAGTTCATAGAGTCATCGAGAAATAGAGTCGAGTACATGTCAAGCACAAGTCATAGTTCAAAGAGTCATAGAGTCATATAGAGTCATAGAGTCACAGTGAGACAGAATCATAGAGTCATAGTGTTATAGAGTCATAGCGTCAGAGTGAGAAAGAGTCATAGAGTCATGGAGTCATCTATGTACCACGCACTTGACTTGATGTAGTTCACTCTATGAACACTAATGTTCAGGTTTAGCGGGTTTAGAGTATAGTCCAACATGACGCAGAAGTCTTCCTTTCCTAGCTCCGGAACCTCACTATATAGACATCCCTGATTACTGTGGTTTCAACGTGACTCTATGACTCTATGCATGGTCACTTTATGTCGCAGCAGTAGTAGTAGTAGTAGTAGCAGTAGCAGTAGTAGTACTAGCAGTACCAGTACTAGTAGTAGTGATAGTAGTGGTAGTCGTAGTAGTTGTAGTAGTAGTCGTCGTCGCGTAGTCGCAGTCGTGGTCGTAGTAGTAGTAGTAGTAGTTGTTGTTGTAGTTGTAGTTGTTGTTGTGGTACTAGTAGTAGTAGTAGTAGTAGTAGTAGCAGTAGTAGCAGTAGTAGTAGTAGTAGGTAGTAGTAGTAGTAGTAGTAGTAGTAGTAGTAGTAGTAGTAGTAGTAGTAGTAGTAGTAGTAGTAGCTTTTGTAGTAGTGGTAGTAGTAGCAGTAGTAGTAGTAATAATAGTTGTAGTAGTGGTAGTGGTAGTAGTAGTACTAGTACTAGTTCGAACACTCGACAACGCCAATTTCTGTGAAGGGTTGCAAGTTTCACTCAATGCACATCAAAAGTAATAACTTTACCTCGCGTTCGAACACTCGACAACGCCAATCTGTGTGAAGGGTTGCAAAATTCATCTCAATGCACATCAAAAATTGCAACTTTACCTCGCGTTCGAACACTCGACCACGCCAATCCCTGTGAAGGGTTGCAAAATTCATTTCAATGCACATCAAAAATGCAACTTTGCCTCGCGTTCGAACACTCGACCACGCCAATCCCTGTGAAGGGTTGCAAAATTCATCTCAATGCACATAAAAAATTGCAACTTTACCTCGCGTTCGAACACTCGACCACGCCAATCCCTGTGAAGGGTTGCAAAATTCATTTCAATGCACATCAAAAAATGCAACTTTACCTAGCGTTCGTGCATTCGACCATGCCAATCCCTGTGAAGGGTTGCAAAATGCCAATCCCTGTGAAGGGTTGCAAAATGCAGTTGAGCTGCGCCCAAACCCTGTGAAGGGTTGCGCGGCGCCCGCAAAATGTGTAACTTTACTTCGCGTTTGAACACCCGAGGAAGCGAATCCCTGTGAAGGGTTGCGCGGCGCGCGCAAAATGTGTAACTTTACATCGCGTTTCAACGCCCGAGGAGGCGAATCCCTGTGAAGGGTTCACCCGGGCGCCTAAAATGTGTAACTTTACCTCGCGTTTGAACGCCCGAGAGTTCCAATCCCTGGGAAGGGTTGCGCGGGAACCCTAAAATGTGTAACTTTACCTAGCGTTTGGGCGCTCGAGGAGGCGAATCCCTGGGAAGGGTTGCGCCGGGCGCCTAAAATGTGTAACTTTACCTAGCGTTTGGGCGCTCGAGGAGGCGAATCCCTGGGAAGGGTTGCGCGGGCGCCTAAAATGTGTCACTTTACCTAGCGTTTGAACGCCCGAGGCAGCGAATCCCTGGGAAGGGTTGCGCCGGGCGCCTAAAATGTGTAACTTTACCTAGCGTTTGGGCGCTCGAGGAGGCGAATCCCTGGGAAGGGTTGCGCGGGAACCCTAAAATGTGTAACTTTACCTAGCGTTTGGGCGCTCGAGGAGGCGAATCCTTGGGAAGGGTTGCATTCCCGATGGACGACGACGGTGCCACCCCTGGCTTTAGAAGAGAGATTTAGATACCGAGATGTAGAGAGTATGTAGAGAGGTAGAGAGTAAGTCAGAGAGTAAGTCAGAGAGTAAGTCAGAGAGTAAGTCAGAGAGTAAGTCAGAGTAAATCACAGAGTAAGTCAAGAGTAAGTCACGAGATGTAGAGAGTATGTAGAGAGGTACAGAGTAAGTCAGAGAGTAAGTCAGAGAGTAAGTAAGTCAGAGAGTAAGTCACAGAGTAAGTCACAGAGTAAGTCAAGAGTAAGTCACAGAGTAAGTCACAGAGTAAGTCACAGAGTAAGTCACAGAGTAAGTCACAGAGTAAGTCACAGAGTAAGTCACAGAGTAAGTCACAAGTAAGTAAGTAAGTATCAAGTGTAGAGTCAAGTATCAAGTGTAGAGTAAAGTATGGAGTCAAGTAAGTTGATTCTATGTCTGTCATCTATGTACTCAACTGCGGCGTTCCACACGGAAGAACCCTTCGCGAAGCTTTCGGGAATACAGACTTCTGTGCGGCAAGGGGCAATCTTCAGTGAGCATTTAGAGTCTCTGAGAAGGCTCGATCAGTAAACCCCAAATCCTAAAGCCCTGCATCCTTATATAGGTGATTGTCAAAATTATGGTCCCTTTTTGGGTCCCCAATATAGTACGGCACCTAATATTTAGGGTGCCCAAACAAGGACCATAATTTTGACAACCACCCAATATTCATGCCCTCAAACTATAAGCCCATATTCATCGGATCCGGACGCCGCAGCTGGCAGCAACGGAACCCTAACAACCGAAACCTTGACCCTCGCCGACCAGAAATTCCATATGAAATTCCTCAGAATCCTAAGCTTCAGGACTAAACCAAAGCCCGTAAAACCCAACCCCTTCTGCCCCTTAAATTAGTGTGCATTTGGAACCCTAAACCCCCTAAATCCAAACCCTATATTAATCTGCTGGCCCTCCTAAAATTTAAAACCCGAAACCCGAAAATGGAAGGCAGCTGGCAGCAAGTAAGGTAACTATAGACCTATCTACTTATTATAACCCCAATGAAGGTACTAATAACCCTAGCTACTAAGTCCCACGATCCTCCAAGTGGAAGGCAGCTGGCAGCAAGTATTGGAGATACTCGAGTTACTTCGAAGCCTGGCCCTTTCCGATGCCACGAGCTTCTCGGATCTGGTGACAGGGATTTTGCAGTGGGCTTTCAGCGTTCAGGGTCTATGGGGTTTGGGGCGTAGGGTTTGGCGATGGAGGATACGGTGTTTAGGGGTTAGGGCTTAGAGGCTTTAGGGGTTTAACAG